CCTTTTCCATAGGTTTACAGTCGCAAACAACGGGTTCAAGCTTCTACTCCCACGACCAACTGCCCTGTCTCTTTGAAAGCAGCTCCGCCCTCTCAAGATACTGCTCCCCTTGATGATCGTCCTATTGCACTTCGAAAGGGTAAACGTTCTTGTACTTGCCTTATTTCAACATTTGTTTCTGATAATGCTCTTTCACCCTCCTATCGGAGTTTTTTTGTTTCTGTTGCCTCGGTTTCTCTTCCATCTACTGTTGTAGATGCCCTTACACAACCTCAGTGGCGTGAAGCTATGACTGAAGAACTACAGGCACTTGAGAAAAATCAGACTTGGAAATGGTTTTGCTTTCTATTGGACGAAAGGTTGTAGGACGTCGTTGGGTATTTACCGTTAAGCATAATCCTGACGGGTCAATTGCTCGCTATAAAGCCCGTTTGGTTACCAAAGGTTATGCTCATACCTATGGCATAGATTATCAGGAGACTTTTGCCCCTGTGGCTAAGATGAACACTATCCGGGTATTATTTTCCATTACGGCAATTCATTCTTGGCCTCTCTTTCAATTAGATATCAAGAATGTCTTCCTTAATGGTGAATTACAAGAGGAGATTTATATGGTTCCCCCTCCCGGTTTTTGCTCTCCGGCTCATTCCGGTATGGTTTGCCGACTTCATCGCTCCCTGTATGGCCTCAAGCAGTCCCCCCGAGCTTGGTCTACTCGCCTTCGCACTACAATGTTTAAGTTTAGTTTCCATCAGAGTGCAAACTGATCATACCTTGTTCTTACGTCATTCTAACGGTAAGACAATTGCTCTAATTGTATATGTTGATGATATTGTTCTTACTGGAGATGATGATGCTGGGATTGCTAAGGTTAAGCACTATCTTAGCCGTCAGTTTGAGGTTAAGGATCTTGGTCCTATTCGGTATTTCTTGGGCATTGAGGTGGCACGCTCCAAGGCTGGCATTTTTATGTCTCGGCGCAAGTATGTTTTTGATTTACTTTATGCTTCTGGCCAGCTAGGTGCTCGTCCTGTTGATACTCCTATTGAGCAGAAACATCGCTTGGGCGATTCTGAAGGGGAGTTATTGGCAGATATCAGCAACTTGTTGGGAAGCTCATCTACCTATCCATCACTCGACCTGACATTATTTATGTTATGGGTCAATTTATGCACTCTCCCCGCTCCCCTCACCTTAATGCAGCTATTCGAATCCTTCGCTAATTGAAGGGGTGTCCAGGTCGTGGTATTTTGTATGACAATCATAGCCACTTACGTATTGAAGCCTGGACAGATGTTGATTATGCGGGATCAATTTTAGATAGGAGGTCTACTTCTAGCTACTTCGCTAATGTTGGTGGCAACTAAGTTACTTAGCATAGTAAGAAACAGGATGTTGTCTCGCAATCGAGCTCGAAGGCAAAGTATAGAGGTATGGCTTTTGGAGCGTGTGAATTAATATGGCTACAAACGTTGATGACAGACTTGTGTATTCCATTCACTTCCTTTTTCACTTTACTGTGACAACAAGTCTGCCATTAGCATTGCAGCAAATCCTATCCAACATGACAGGACTAAGCATATAGAGGTTGATCGACACTTTATCAAAGAGAGAATCAACAATGGTCAAATTTACACTCCATTTGTCATTACCACTCAACAACTTGCCGACATTCTTACTATGGGTGTCAACAAGATTGTGTTAGATGCTTTGTCCAAGTTGGGCATCTCAGATATCCACGCACCAACTTGAGGGGGAGTGTAAGCTGATATATATATGTGTCCCCTCAATCATGCCTTGAATCATGGACCTAGAATCAAGGACCTTGGTTCATGGAGACTGCTCCCTTGACTGAGTGGTTTGCCCACTTTTCATATTTCTAACATTGGCCCACCTCCTGTGAAAAAAAAAAAAAAAAAACAACAGATATGGAACCATATGCAAGCAGTTTCACAATCTGACAAACAACCTAGAATGGCTTGTTTCAGAATATGTTGCTAACAGCCTATAATGTACCAAGTAGAATTATATGATAGAATGGGAGAAATATAATAAGATGAGAGATTCCAGGGAAATATGTAATTGTTATGTTATATAACTAATCCATAGCTTTAGTATTTATACTAGAAGTGCACGTGAATCTTACAATAAAGGAAACCGAAAAATGATTAACTTAATACAAAAGCCATGAATCAAGGCATGATAAAGGGGACACAAAGTGGGCAGACCACTCAGTCAACAGAGCAGCCTCCATGAATCAAGGTCCCTGATTTAAGGCATGACTGAGGGGACACACATATATCAGCTCACAGTAACCTTCTAAAGTTATATATTACCATGTACTATTTCTCTATTGGGGCTGTGCAAATGAACCAAGTTATTCATAAATAGTTCAAATGGGGAGAAATTGTAAATCTATAAAGGAGATTGTCGCTGCTTAGGACCCTTTTCTTTGGCTTCGGCCTTTGTATAGTTTCCGGAATGTGTTCCCATTTTGAATGCTTTCTAATATACTCTTACTTACAAATACATATATATACGAATAGCTCAAGCTTGTTCACTAAGCAAACAAGGACCTCGAGCTTAATTGTTGAGCTCGTTTAATAAACAAGCCAAGCTTGAACACTGTTAGGCTTGAATAGGCTCGCTAAACACATGAACAAGTTCGTATAGCAAAAATGTTTTACTCAACTTTAGTTCAGCCCATATAAATGATACCCATTAAAATCGTATAGTAGTAGCCTATTCAAAATGCGAAGCCCATACGTTCACAAATGCCCATATTTTATTTCATAAATCCAACTTAGAAGCCCAACTAATAAATACTAAAGATCACATTCACATGTGATGCTCATCCTCCACCTCTCATCCCTAAGCTTATCTCCTTCTCGTGTGTTGGCCGCTGCACGCCCATCGCGCTTCAGCCCTCATGATGGCAATCAATCGCGATGGTGATTAAAGGAGAATGATGCATGAGATCGATGATTTCCTCCAATCTCCAGGCATGAATACATATAAATATATATCTACAATCATATATGCATGAATTTGTTTATATATAGACGTGAATGTGTTATATATATGACGAATCTAAGGTTTGATATCAGAATCTTTGTCCAATACCTATATGAATCTATGTATATGATATATATCTGTGTGTGTGTGTGTGTATGAGACTGAGATTGTATATGAGTTTAGCCAAACGAGCTTGAGCCAAGCCGAGCCGAGCTTAGCTTTGGCATGGATCAGGGTGGTGCTCGAGCTCAGCTTGTGTTTGGGCAAGCTTGGTTCGTCAATATCTTGGTAAGTTAGATTGAATAAGCTACAACAAGATTCAGCAACATCCCAAAGCGTTAACTCCTTTTTACTTGAGAAACAAGAGATTGAATAGAAAGCAAAAATTGCATGGAAGCACTAACTTTTTAAGAAAACTAATTGATAAAATATAATTTCAATGAAAATTAATCAGTTTATAGAAGTTGATAGACAAGAAGATAATTTCATTACTATGAAAATGTTGTTCTTGTAACTTTTAATGGTTACTCTATGAGAGTGTAACTCTATGTAAAGCTAAAAAATAGTTGAAATCCATGAGCAGATCTCACTTTTTAAAACTCTAACCTGACCAAGACGCATAAAATGGAAATACGAAGGTAAAAAAGTCCAATGTGAACAACGACGTCATATCAGAGGGCCCATAACTCAAGTAGACCTGATGAAAGAGCAATAGTACTAAAAATAATTCACATAGCTCAATGCTAAGCAACAAACAAATGATTTGTGCTAAAAACAACCATACTTGAGATAACAATGTTGAAGTGAGAAGACAGAAATTCAAAAAATAAAAGATCAGGTTTGAACATAGACACGTGCCCCCCCCCCTGAATTTCTTTTTTCCTTCTTTATATATATATATGTATGTATGTATGTATGTATGTATGTATGTATTTATATATAATATGTATGTATGTATGTATTTATATATAATATGTATGTATTTTTGTTAAGTTATACAAAATGTTTCCCCAGGTTTGTGATATTATTAGTTTGCCCCCTTGGTTTGTAATATTATTAGTTTGCCTGTAAACCAAAAATATCAATCTCTCTCTTTCTCTCTCTGTGTATATATACACCCATAAAAAATGATTTACATATATACATATTATGACTATAAATACATGTATACCTCTGTCCTTGGACCTCATGTTCGACATTACAATGTTTTTTTTTTTTTTTTTCTTTTGTTCGTGTAATTTAGGGAATAGGGATTTTATATATCTCTTCTCTATTTTTGTACATTTTTGTTATTATTTCCTATCTTTGCAAATTATGCTAATATGTTTTGTTAGTTTGTTATGTAACTATAAATCTTATGAATGAATTGTTGAGTATTTTATGGTCATAATCAAACAAAAGTGTCTAGTATTTAGCCATCACACCATTTTCTTATTAGATATTCAACGACACAGCTCGTAAGTCCGTTTAGCCCATGTCTTATTTTTATTATTATTATTATTAAGTACATTGCCTCCCCCTGAAATCAAATCCCGACTCCGTCGTCCCTATCCCTGTGTCAAAATGTGAGGTGTGCCTCTCTATGGAAAGCCCAACCCAGATTTACATTAGGTTACTCATAATAAATCAAGAATATGTGCTAATCGCAACAGAGACTTTACATTACACAAGAAGCATCATGAATAACTTTTAAAAGACACCCCAAATTTCATTGCAACCATCTACTGGTAACCTGCTCTATTAACTGCAGTTTTGTTAAACTAATTTTCATAGACTGGTTGAACCATTAGTACGTGTTATAGTATAGAACATTCAGAAAAATCTTTCAATTTCATCTTCCACCTTATTTTACCAAAAATGAGATGTCATAATGCTAAACCCTCCAGCCATCTCCACGATTTTGCAGAATGGACACAATCACAACACAGTTCAAATTTGATGCGGCTAACATATTTGAGAAGCTATTAACAAGCAAAGAAACTTACTTGACAATTGCTCTTCTTGCTTTCCAAAACTGTTTCTGACCTATTACTCCTACAACATCATCAGGAGATATATCCAAGTTTGATATACAATCCACCATGGAATTCTCAGAAACATCATCACCTCTGTCCACATTTCCTGTCTGTAATGAGCCACATGCCATGTCTTCACGATTTTCACTATCATTAGAAGGATAATCAGGACTTCTCTGCCCTACTGGACAGAAATCTCTCCTTGAGATGGAAAATTCTCTGTTCTCTATGCCCCTCAAAGGCTCATCTGAAGCACAATCAGCACGTGCTGTGACATACTGTGACCCAGCTCTGAACTCCCCAAAACTAGCATCAGCATTCTTCAATGTGGTACAGATACTTTCACTGCGATCTTTACACTCCCGATTTGAGAACGGATTGGTTTGCTTTGATGGACCATCAGTTTTCTTTCTGACGGATAGAATTGAGGCAGATTTAATTGATTGTTCCCCACTTGCCATAATTTCTTTTGAGTTCTCTTTACCCTGACTTATGCTTTCCTGTCTCAAATTTGGCCCAGCAATACTAGTACTTTTGGGCTCTTTATCACCAGCATTTGGGAATTTCGTTAAATGACCTGGACAAGCTGAATCTAAGGGAGAGATTCCTTCCATATTCATGCTGTTGTTACTTCCACCATGATGTCGACCCATCCCTGAGTGAACAAAGATGGGAACTGTAAAATCCTCTTGATCTAGCTTCTTTTTCTGTTCAAGTTGGACCATAGGAGTGTTGCAGTCAGAATAGAGAGCATGTGTCCTCTCAACTGGATGTGTTGAAAAAGGTAGGTGAGGAGGAAAAAACATAGCCCTTTCATGGCCACTCCCCTGCAACCACAAATTGTCGGTTGTAATAAGGCACACAAAATCATATTCTACATGAACATAGGTATGAGAATACTGAGCTTGACCCTCAAATGCACACACAAAGAGACAAGAATCAGACAAGAACAGGAATAAGAAAAGTTGAGGTAATTTACGCGACCAATCACGAAGATTACATAGGATTGGCAACGTAAATATGAATGAGCACTGTGCTCATACTACCATCAAAACTGTTACCAATGGGCAAAAGTAAAAAACCATTCTAAAGGACAGCTGAGTAGTGACATTCATTCTGGGTTGGAAATAAGAGAACTCAGTGGCCATGGTGGTGTCCTTCCACTGCTATGGAGTTAGGATGGTCAGGGATTCTTTTGCATCTGGAAAAAGGAAAAGAAATGGAGGGCTGAGGTTTTATATATATATATATATATATATATGTAGTTGGAGGGCCGAGTTATGCAACAAGGGATTTCAAACTCCTAAAACAACATATATATCCTATACAACAACAAAAACAATAATCAAGCTTTTTTCCCAACTACTAGAGGTCGGCTACATGAATCCTATGTTTCCATTCTGCCTATTCAAGGTCATCACCTCAGTCAGTCCAAAAGCTATCATATCCTTCCTTATACTAAAACAAAATAAAGAAAATCACTATACTAAATGTCAAGGCTAAAACACAATCCATTATCTAAACTGCAACCGAAATTCAAAACCCAATCAAACAAATAGAGGTGTATTCTTCTCCAAGAACAACAACTAGGTTATCAAATTAAACATAGATCATTATCTAAATAAAAAAATAAAAAAATAAAATGTGTGCTAGTTCCTAGATACTTACCAAAGGCAAAAAAAAAAAATAGTGTACTAAAAACTAATCCATATATTAGCCAAAGCAAAAGTTGAGTTAAAAATGAGTTAAGTAAACCTAAAAATTGAAATTAAAAAAAGAAAAAACATACAATTGAGTCTAAACTGACCTGGCTTGATGATGCCAGAGGGACCAAATTGGTCTTGTTATTGGGTTTAAGAGGCAACACACCAGAATTGAAACTCTGAGAAGGTACACTAAGCTGTTCATAGAGGGCCATCTTGTTCCTTGGAGGTGCCCTTGGCCCTCCTTTATCTGCATCATTCACATGAAGCCTTGGGAACATAGGTCCCACACTCTTCTCCTCATCTTTCCCTCTCTTCATTTTCTCTCTCTAACTTCCAATAGTACTAACTCCAACCACAACAACCAATTATTCCATGAAGTTAACCAAAAATCCCCAAAACCCAGACCTCCAAAACCTAAACCAAGTTGCACAGACTCAAGAGCTCACAAACCCAGACACCTAAACCCACTTGTAGATAGAGCTCCAGATTTTCACCAGCTCAGACACCAAAAGCTGTTCTCTCTTTGGAAATTTAACAAGCTCTCAAGAATTCAAAGCCTGCCCAGTTCAAAAAACTGCTTTCTTGATGAAGAAAAACCAAAACGAAAACCAAGCTCCAGATATCCAGATTTCGGCAAACGGACACAGTTGAGGAAAAACTGCTTTCTTGATGAAGAAAAACCAAAACCAACCTCCAAAAAACCGAATTTGGGCCAACCCAGAAATCAAAGTCGGTTCTTTTCCTCCAAAATGGATCGATTTCTGAAGAACCCAGAAATGACTAAGTTCAGGAACAAAAACCAAAAAAAAAATACTTTCTTGAAAAGAAAAAATAAAGTAAAATCTGAGTTATGATATTGATAACAACCTGAAAGCATGAATTGTACGAATTTGCTGCTAAAATCTATGGAATAGCAAGTGAAGTTAGCTTGATACAAACAGCAAAGCTGGAGCTAGTAGAGATTCGGAAGGCAAAAAAGGGAAAGTAAGAAAAACTGCGAGACTTGGGGGCCAATTGGATAGAGATAGATCACATAAAGGGATAAAATATTGGATTCTAGGTTCAACACCTTTTCTTGGCCAACACCAAGGAGTACACATATTGCCATGTGAAGATACAGAACACTGGGTCACACAACTTACCAGATATTATTGTAGTCGTAAGAAAATATCGTTGGAGTCACTGATCGTACACAATTTGAAAATCTTATTTAGCTACAATTATAAAGAAAGGACAAGTAGGTCATTTTTACTGATTCTGGTCCAATCACAAAGTCTGTAATTATAAAATTTAAAAAATAATTGAATTTATTTCGAAAAAAAAATTATTATTATCTTTATTTATAAATTTTCTGATCCTGTGGGTCACAACTCAAGAATTTGTGTTCACTCTCACAATTATCAAGTCTTCTTACGAAATTGTAGTGGTAAGAAAAAATTACTGAAGAGTCATTGACACGTCGGGTTCAATTGTACAACTTGAAAGTCTCTACTTTAGGTACAACTACATAGAAAATATCCAAACGCCAAGTTCTGTTAGGGCTATTTTCTCATTCTTTTCATTGTCACGTGAAATAACATTATGATAATAAATAGGTAAATTTCCACCGTATTTCTTGTTTTAAGTTACTAACTTATGAAAAAATTATGATTAACTTTCTTAAAGTGATTTTGAATATATACTATGAGAAAATTTTGATTGACCTCCTTACAGTGATTTTGAATATAGGAAGGAAGGGAGACCAGGGAAGATAGGACGTTTCCTTCCGTTGGCAGAAAAAAAATAAATTCATACACCAGTTTGCCCATGTTGGGCTTGAACTAGTCCCTCCTTTTTTAAAATAAGAAAATTATATCTTTAAATTAAGGTCATTTAATTCAATTGGTAGAGACGAGACTAAAAGAAAAATTATAATAAGATGGATGAATCATTCTTATTGCTTTACAATTCGAAGAGCTCTGAAAATTTTAGTTTATAATAATACCTTTATAAATATTAGATAAACCCAAACAAAGCAAGTTTTTACTTTTTTATTCAACCAAACAAAAAAATGAAGGACATTATCTTTTTTTTCTTACTAGTGTTATTCACGTGCGATGCACGTGATATATATATATGTAGTATTAGTAAGATTGTTTTGTTTTTTTAAATCATATAAATGCAATTTTGATGAAATATTGATTTTGCAATCTTTATATCCACCGTAAAATTTTCTCTGCAAATCTATATTATCTGTGACTGGTACATTACTATTCGATAACTTAATTAAACATGCATAGTGTAACTTTTTGTATATGTTTGTTTTTTAAAAAAATCTTTCTAAACACTAAATTGAATCAAATTCATGACTTATATATCTTAAGAGTGGTGGAGTTAAATGAACAAGACTATTTGTGTCTCTTATAAAATTTATATAAAAATTAAAAATTCCTTATTTTTAATTAAAAAAATATTATCTGCATATTCTATCATACTATATCAAGATTATTTTTGATATCAAACATCAAATTTTAAAAAATAGTAACTGAAACTATAGCGAAGAATTTATGGGAAATCAAGTAAATAAATGAGAAGGTAATAAATGGTCAAAAACTCAATATAGGAATTATATTTTTTTTCTTTTCATTTTTAATCATAAAGTCCTTTTTTATTTAACTGGATGGTATCTCTAAAGATCATTTGTTTTTATTTATACTCTAGCAAACTACTTTTAGATTATCTATGTTGTCATGTTATAAGAGCATCCAATCCTATTTATGTGTGTGTGTATATATATATATATATTTTTAATAATTTGATATTTGATAATAAGAAAAATAGAATATTTATTCTCTCTCTTTTACACTTTTAGATCGTCATGAGTTTATGATTTTCACAAACATGTTAAATGGCTTTGGCTTACAAGAAAAAAAATTATCAATTTAGGCTTTGAGGCATTAATTTGTATTCAATTAATTTTTGCAAAAATGCAAAAAGCTAAAATGTATATTTGATTTAAACCAAACCAAATCTAAGCACCCAACACAATTGTGCTGCAAAATTTTAGTAAGTTATATCAACAAGACTAAATATTGTCTTCATCTTTACTTCTTTTCTTAAATTTTTCACAAACCAGGCATAATTCAGCAAAAAGAATTTCAACAATCAAATTGTGAACTATATTTTTAATTACAATAATTTAGAAAAGGAAAGAGACCCCGAGAATTTGAATCTCTTAAGTTTAGCTTCAACTTCTTCAACAGTGGATGGTGAATTCTTGCTCTCTAAAACCCTCTTAGAAAGCCCCCAAAGCCGTGTAGTCACCTGCCAGAAAAATCATTACAATTAACAAGACTTAATATTTTTAAGGTTTTCATTTTTACTTTTCTCTTCTTAGCTTTCTCACTAAGCAAACAAATTTATCACTTAGAAAAATAATTCCAATAATCAAATTATAAATTGTTGTAATTGCAAGAATTTAGAAAAGATAAAAGACCTCCATGATAATTTGAGTCTCTAAGTTTGGTTTCCGCTTCTTCGTGGATTGTGATGTCTTGCTCTCTAAAAGTAATGTATGCCATATGGTTACTCTCTGTCTTTGATAACTCGATCCACTACAATAGTCATCAAAAGATTTAGTTAAAACTTGAGAGCTATACATAAGGATGTAACGACTGAATTCCATTAGAGAGACCGTTGAAAATTCCGAATGTCATGAACACATGCATTTTGTTAAAATATGTTGTTGTTGAGTAGTCCTGACCGTGAGTTAATAAACTTTAGGGTAAATTGCAGTGACATCCCTCAAGTTTACTGAAAAAATAGGCAGATACAACTTAAGCTATTTTGGAACCGTGATACTCCCCAGCTATGAAGCACGAACACTCCTCCCAGGGATTTCGTACCAGTGTCGGACACTTTTCGGACACCGACACCCGTGTCCGAGGCTCGGACACGTGTCCGACACTTCTGTGAAGTGTCTAGAAATTATTTTTTATTGGACACGGTTCGGAAATGCGGGGGACACGGCGGGGTATATTTTGTAATTTTTTTAAAGATGGGACACGGCGGGATATATTTTGTAATTTTTTTTTAAAAGATAAATGGGGTACCTAATGTAATTTACTAATTTTAAAAGTTTAAAAGTAAAATTTTGAAAAAATAAAAAAACAACTACAGACAATAGAGTATTACACAGAAATTTTATTTTCTCTCACTTCCTCTCTCAGTCTCTCCTCTTCTTCAATTATCTCTCTACATGAACAAGACATTTTTTTTTTTTAAGTTACATGAACAATATTTTGTGAAAGACTGAAAGTATATATGTTTATTCATGTATATATTTAGCTCATTATAGCTATGTCTCTTCTGTACATCTTCGTTTGGAATTTGGATCAACTTTATTTTTCATTTATTTTCTATTTTGTCTTGTCTATGTTTTTCTTATAACAGAGATGAAATTATTGAAATTAGTCATGTTATTTGTTATTATTTTATTTGCAATTTTGTATTTATATATACCTGTTTGTTATTAGGAAAATGAATGTGCAAGGTTCTAGTTATCATATTTTGAATATATAATTTTATATAATATATATATAATTTTATAGGCGTATCCCTACCTTATCCGTGTCCTATTTTTTTGAAATTTGCCGTGTCACCGTATCCGTGTCGTATCGTACCCGTGTCCGTGTCCGTGCTTCATAGCTCCCTAGGTTTGTTAAATTGAACAAAGACACCCAAACATAATGAAAGTATATATTTCCCCTTTGACTTCAAAGTTGACTAAATTAACTTTATAATTTCCTATGAATTGACTAAAATGACCCTCAACTCTGTGTTTAGATCCCTTCGCAAACTATCACCCCCGAACACCACCACCACACCACCACCAGCAAAAGCCCAACCACCCCCAAATTAGGCCTTATCCCTTTTCTTACACATACACCCCACCACCCCCATCACGCCCACAACCAAATTCAACCCACCACCACCATCCACAACCACCTCTACAACCAATTTCAACCCACCAGTCACCACCACCGTCACTAATCACCCCCAAATGAACCAGCCACCACCCCATCGTTGAGTCGAAAATCCACAACCTTCAAATCGCCTTTGTCGTCAACGAGGAGGTTGTTCAGCATCAAATATGGGTGACTAGTTGGTTCGGTCGTGGATAAATAGCGGCGGCTCAGATGAAAACGACGTCGAGTTTAGCCGTTAGCTGTGGATGAAATGCAGTTGTGCACCGGTGAGACAGATCCGGCGATCTGACCGGCAAGGGAAGTAGTGAGGACGGTGGTGGAGAACTTGGTTGACTCACCCGTGAAGAGAGCTCGACTGTAGTGATGGAGAGCTCAGCCGTGATGAAGAAGCTCGGCTGACTTGGTCGTGAAGAAAAAGCTTGGTTAACTCAGCGGCGAGCTCAGCCGGTGGAATAGGCGGGTGGTGCAGCAGTGGTGACGAACCGGCAAAAATGAGGAAGCTCGATGATGGATGGGATGATTGAATCAGCTGCCGGCGAATGGGATGGACTCTCAGCGGTCAGCTGTGAGATCAAAGTATGCCGGCGGCGGCGGCAAAAAGCTGTGAAGAATTAGAGTAAATTGGCGGCGATGGAAGGATTGACAGCGGTGAAGCGGTGGGGACAAAGACATAGAGAGGGTTGAAAGAGAGAGAGACGAGAATTGTTTAGCAAAAATAGGATTGAAAAGAGAAAGATAAGGAGAGGGTAATTTGGTCATTTTATGAGATAATTAAAATATATCTTAGGGCATATTAAACATTTCATGTCAATTAAGGTTGTGTTTGACTCTTTTTTTTATAGAATGGGGTGTCATTGTTCAAATTTGCAAATTTGGGGGGTGTCATTGTCTCAAAATGGTCAAAATTGTATCTGTCTGTATTTTAAGCAAACCTGAGTGGGTGTCACTGCAATTTACCCTAAAAGTTAATTAAATTTAAATTGTTTTTATTAATTTTTTCTCTGCATTCTAAATTTTGTCTAATTAATTCTTAACAATTCTTAAAGCTAAATTATTTTTATTAAATTTTTTTTCTTTCTAAAATCACACGTCTTTTCCTTTTTTTCAACAGACAAAGACTTAATTGTAACTTTAAAACCTAAATTCATTTATAAAATACACATAAATACG